TCCGCAGCCGGCGCCAGGCCCGAGCTGGGTGGACAGGGCTCAGGCTCAGCCCTCAGCTGGCACCCCCCCCATGGGTCCTGAGGGGGGCAGGTCCCCAGGGGCAGCCACAGGGATGCAGGGCCTGTGGGCACTGAGGCCACAAAACCCAGGTGGAGGCCCAGCTCCGTGGTCCTGGCTGTGAGCGATGACTGCTCAGTGGGCTCTGGGCCTGGGGTCCCCATCTGTGAAAGTGGGGGAAACATCTCCCCCTCACGGGGCTGCCCCGAGCCTACCCAGTCTCACCCATCCACCCCAGGGCAGGGTCCCTTCCCCCTCCGTACACCCTCATGCCTGTCCCTCCCGCCCACCTGGCACTGCTCAGGCCCCAGCCCTCCTCACCAACCAGCACCAGGCCCGTGGCTCCTCTGCCCGCGTGAGCCCAGGTGGTGGAGCCCAGGGACTCCTCTCCTCTCCTCAGTCCCAGCCCGCAGGCCCCTCCCTGGTGGCCCCATGTCCCCACCAGCCTCTGGGGAGCAGGGGGCGGCTGCAGACACCAGCCCAGTAGGTCCCCTGGGCTGCCCCGCCCCGCCCTCCCTCAAAGCCCCTCCCCTTCCAGGCACCACCTTTCCCGCAAGGGCTGCTCTGAGCCCTCAGGACCCCTGCCCCGCTGAGCCCTTCTTGGGCCCCTCCCAGGCCCTGGGGCCCAGACCTGGACCCCAGAACCTGGGGAGGAGGGAGGAGCCTTGGGGGGGGTGGGGAGCCTGCGGGTCTGGCGAGGGGTCCAGGCTGTGTGAGCAGCAGAGGGTGGGGCAGGTCTCTGAGCCTCAGCACCACCTTCCCCCGGCCTGGGAGGGACAGAGGCAGGTCCTGCCCTCCTGGACCAGGGAAAGGAGGTCTGAAGCCGGGGCCTGGGGGCCTGAGACTGTGGGGCCGGGAAAGGCCCCAGACGGGCCAGTGCTGAGCGAGGACAGGCAGGGGCGGGGGCCGCAGCGTGGTGGGAAGCACAGCCGGCCTCCTGAGCGTCTTCAAAGGAGCCCCCGCGGCCAAGGTGGGGTGGGGTCATTGTCGAGACAGAGCCCGAGGCCCAGAGGGTGGGGACGGCGCAGTGATGGACAGGAGGCGTGGCAGGGCTGGAGGCCAGCACCAGGCGGCCGGGGACTGGGAGTGACCCTCTGGGGGCACAGACCCCCCTGATCAACACCG